AAGCAGTGGTATCAACGCAGAGTACTCTAGCGATGTCAGGAACAAATTGCATACATTTTTGTACAGTTTTCGTTGTGGCGCACCAAGAAAAAAGCAGAGAATACGAATAAACATGCTTCACGTTTTTAGATCTATCGATGACTGCTAAGAAACTTATAAGGAAAGCTACGTAACTTAGCTCGGCCTTTTGGTAAAAGGCATATATATTCTAAATCAGCTTCAAACGCTGATTCCAAATATGCTAATCTCAGCTGCCAGGCGTTATTCCGAAGCGAGTTATGGGCTTTTTCCTGCGCAAAACTGGTATACTACTGAACATGAGAAGACGCCTGTAGATAAAAATCTGCAAGAAAAAGGTGCTGAGGTATCGAAATAGGACAAATACAATCTTTTCTCACTAAAAAAAGCTTAACGCAGGTGTATCAGCACTAAAATGATGATGATGTGATGCCCATGAGTCGATGAGCACGCCAATTTTGCGCAGGAAAAAGCCCATAACTCGCTTCGGATTGGTGCGTGGCAGCTAGGAATGACATACTTGGAATCAGCGTTTGAAGCTGATTCAAACTATGTATGTCCCTTGCCAAAGGACCGAGCTAAGTTAGGTAGCTTCCCTTGTTAGTTGATTCTCTCTGGACCACCCTCAACGTCAGTCCATTACCTATTCTTGGAGTTATGGCAAGTCATTAGTAAGTTGACACGTGAGTCACACTGTGCGCGGTAACTACATCATACTAGCAACTCTCCCTAAAACCTTTCCTGAATAGAAGTTGGAAAGGTGCACTACTACCATACACATTCAGGCAAGCGAAAAAGGGAGGAAAACAAGGACATATGCCTGAAAATTTTCTAGTTTCAATCTTACAACTCTTGAGGCAGAAGTAGCGCGCATGGTTGCAATACGCGTCGCAAAATGTTTGTAAGTCACTCACATGGGTTGTAAAAAATCATGTGAAACCTTTTGAACTAGCTTTCTTAAACTTGCAATAATTTAAATGGTTTTTGAAATTTCATGAAAATTAAAACTAGGGCTGCACCAGCTGGCACTAGGTTTCAAAATGAAATTCTCTCTTATCTTGAAAATTTCGTATGAACTCTCTTTTGACCTGTTTTGCATTTGCTTAGGGCGCACTTTGTGATTGGAGCAGGTATTTTAACTGCGGAGCACCCGAGAAGTTTTTGAGTGGCTATAAAACGCCGAAGACAAAACATTATATAATAGTTTTTTCTTTGTACATAAACTTTTACAGTGTAGGTGCAATTTATGTAAAGAAGTATGAAAACTTATGTGATCAAGCTGGCACCCAGATGGCAAGATGCCAGCTAATTCATAAAAAGTTCAGCACAGGTTTCATTCACATAATTTTTCATAAATTTTTGGGCCATTAAAGGCAGTGTCCCGGCAGATTTTGCACCTCTACCTTTTTGCATGTTTTAGGCCTTTTCGCCACGTAGAATCCGAATTGGAGCTTTGAAAGGGCTGAAAAGGCCGATTTTGGGGCGTTTTCCTAATTCCAGAAAAGCAGCTTGGACGAGATTTAATGGAAAGTTGGGGGAGGTCCTCAGACGAAGATCCTGCCGCCTGTAATTCTTGCTTTGGATAGCATGCATCATGGGGGAGAGCGCTGGTGAGGTCCCGCACCGAACAGACAAGGACGGCCGTCCAAGCGCGCGCCAGTTGGGGTTGCACGCGCCGGTTCAAGGGCCATTTTCTCGGCCCAGGGGGAACATCACCCAGCCGGAGTGCTCCTGGAGGTCGATGGGGTGACCAGGAACCCCACCACACGTATATCCCCCACGACCCGAATCTGCCGGGACACTGCCTTTAACGTCCCCCATCGCGCAAGCACACATCAAATAGTGTCATATGATTGCGTTTTGTTTGCAAACAAGGCTTTTATTAGTTTGGGGCAGAATTCCCGCGCTGTGTTAGCACCGGCATGTCAGCGGCATACCGACGACATGCCTGGGCATGCGAGTGGCGTACTGGCGGCATGCTAGTGAGCAGAGGTATAAAGAGTATGCACGCCGCTGGCTGCCCCTTGCATTTCTGCAAACAGCGGCATCTAATCGTCGCAATTCTTTGTGTCTTTTGGGCCACAAGAACGATATCCCCTTTGCTTTCAGTCCCAAAAACGATATCCAGCTTGACCCGGTGCCAGCTTGCCAAGCCCTGATTAAAACTACCTTTTTAAGAATTTCGAAGGCCTGCCGCCATCCCCTTTTTTCGCGATTTATGAACCAGCAAAAACTTTTGGAACCATCTCAAATTTCTCGCGTTACATTACCACCCATCTTCATTCGAGAAAATGTTTTGTCCCTCAATCCCGAATGGAAATTCCAGGACCGCCGCGGGGCATTCTGCTTTCTTAGTGACCAGCTGAAGCCATAAATGAAATCATTGCAGTGGTCTGCATATTTTCAAGCACTTCGAAGTATATTTTTTTTAAAGTTCTAATGAATTATTTATTCAAACCAGCTTAGAAACAAAAAAATGAAATGGATTAAAAAAGAGCTTGCGAAGATGAGAAATGACACTGAAAGCTGATTTTTGGTTTACTTATGGAATTTTTGCAAAGTACTTTGTAAATTCTAAGCTGAAACTAGAGTATAAGCATGAGTAAAGTATTCGAGAGCCATTCCAATAATTGCAACGCATTCCTATGTGAACTAACCAGGGGGAGGAGCGTTCAGCGCACCGCGTGCATGCCAGCCGGTCGCTAAACTGAACGCCTTTTACCGCTCTTAAGGTAAGATGCAATGGCATCACTTGGATTCGTTAGATTCACAGTGAAGAGCGAATCACCGACAGATGTTATTGTGTGATTCCGGTATGAACACTCAACATAAAGCGCCATTTCAAAGTAAGCGATTCAAAAACTCTTCCACAAAAAATCTGGTAAATTGAGGATCAGAATTTTTAAGCAAGTACACAACTTGCTAACAACTAGTGTACACAACTTTCCACGGATATCTAGTGCTTCTTTGATAGTGTAGCCACATTCTTTAGGGCCGGTTGCATTAACGTGCTCGCCAAGGAGGAGATCGCAGCTTAAATGAAAGCTTCATATCCTGAAACAGTCATATCTGGATTTCACGCTGTCTACCTATTTGTAAGTACTAGCCGTCACTATAAACAAAACATAAACGAGAAGCTGTACAAGCCGCATTTTCCTGTTTTTGTATGATCTTCTAACAATCCCTAGCGGGTCTTTTCTATAGTCATTTCTCTTCCTTTAGAGTGACTGAAAACCAAAGTTTTATTGATTCTCTAACGAACAGTGTTAAACATTTTTCTATCAAGAACAAAAGATGTATTGAATTGTAATGCGATGAATCACAAACTCAAAGTTGGTGTCTATCGAAAATTCCGATATTTTTATATCATTAATAATATTATTTTTAACTCATTCATTCCTATAAGCAACGTGCTTATCATTGTTGAATTGATTGACCAGTACAACTCAGATGTTTTCGTTAACTTCGAAGAATGAAGAATGACTTGGAAAAGACGGTCGGCCGCCGGATATCATCATCGGGGGGGGGGGTCATACAAAAATCTTGAAAATGCGGCTTGTCCAACTTCTCTCTTTCAACATGTTTATAGTGAATAGTAGTAGAAATACTAACGGATGGATAGGGAGCGAGAAATCTGGATGTTTGGATCTTCAGTCTATGAAGCTTCCTGGGAGATGTTAATGCGGCCACTGGGAAGATACGGAAAGCAGCTCTTATGCTGCTATCAAGATGACTTATGAACGTAGCACTGCAATCAAATCTCATAATTAGAATCAGCGCTTTTTGATTGGTTTAGTATGAGAGTTTCTAGGTTGATCGGTTTTAGAGGTAGAATGGGGCCTCAACAGCTCAAGAAGCTCTTCGAAGTTCATACCGTAATCCTACAGTAATACAAAGTGCTCGATGATACTTTTCACACTTCAAATGAGCCCGAAACATTTCTACAGAATAGTACCTAAAAATCTGCGAAGGACATTTAAGAACGATCAAACAGCGTGCACATTTTTGATGAGTCGTTCTAAACAAGACAGAATAACTGCCAGGAAAACCAAGGAGATATAATCTGTGCAAGGCACCCATTCTTTTTAATCCTCTTTTCTTGAGTATCTGCTTTTTTGTATCGTACAAAATGATTTCAGTGGTTCTCGTGATGGTCAAAATGGTTTCAGAACAGCTCAAACTTACAAAATTCTCCTTGTTGGCAACGTTTTTCCCCAATCTTTGACACGCATGAGGAGTTTCGTGCCCCCGCTTTCCATACGTTCCAAATATACGTAGGGCAATTCTGAATTACAATTAAGTGTATGTAAATCTTGCACTGAACCAAGTCAAATTGCAGTAAATCGTTTTTTTTTCTAAATAGAATGTAAGTTGCAGTTGACCATTCGATAGAGCATAGTAAGCTCTACAAGATGGTATTGAAATAGTTGCACTAAGTTTGTTCTCGAGAGGAAAGCCAAAACTGAAAAGATTTATGCTTCAATGCTTGACAAAAAAGACCGGAGCTCTATTCAAAGGAATCCCCTGGATCTTCTAATAAACTTTCCGCATCAGACATTATATACTTTACTTTTGTTCCTTTAGAGCTTGTAGTATATAATAATAAATGATGAAATGGCTTAGCGTTTCTTTCTGAAAACCTGCAAGTGTTTATTTCTAGATGAGAAAAATTTACGATAACTGCATAATATGGATGTCTGATGTGGAGAGTAGATGCATGAGCGAGTAGAACGTTTATAAGAAATTTTCAAGCGATGCTTTTTCTGAAATTTTCCTTGAACTCAAGGGTATTTGCATCCTTTTAGTTTTTGGGCTAAATTTATGCGCGTATCAAAGCTGGTGCAAACTTGTGAAAATTATCTCGTAGATCTTACTTTGCTCAGTCAAGCTGTGGGCCGCAACCTATCATTTAGGTGGAAGAAATATGACTTATTGCGGTTTGACTATCTTTGATGCCAGAATTATGCATCAACATAACTATGTAACTATGTCTGGAAAATAATGTTTTTTATTTGCTTGCTATGGCACAGCAACCAAGCAAACCCTAAAAATTCATGAGAGGCAGTGTTCGATAGAGCAAGGCAACAGGGTCTACGGACCCAAATATCTGCTCAAAGTTAGTTCCACGCAAAGGTCGAGGCCAATTAAAAAAGGATTGAATGCATGAAAAATCGTAGAGAAAGAATCGTATTTCCGTTTACAGAAGTCTCACAAGTTTTTTACTTGCTCAGGCATATACTCTCTCTCCACTTCTGATAATGATCTGTACATCTGCTTGTTCTTTCCATTTTTCCAGAACTTGAGGAACATACATGAACCAAGATGTACCAAAAGTACGAAAAAATCGCCTTTTCGGGTATTTTGCGTCGAATTTGTTTCTCCCAAAAACTGTCACTTGTAAGTGGTTAAAAATTTATAGTTTTTTTCAAAGGCTTATACAATAGATTTACCTATGTGAGAGCAAATTTGCGAAAAAATGAAAACTTTTCCTTTTTCTAGCCATGGAAAAATAAGTAAGCATGCATATAAATGCTGAATGTTGATAGTTTATGCGTGAGCAAATTAGAAATTCGTAAGATTTTTCTGCATAAAGTTTTGATTTCTCATAATTTTTTAGGGCATTCAAACCCTTTTATACTTTCTGTTCGAACTTTATATAGAGAAAAACTCGAGCAATTTGGATGCGATCAGTAGAGCTAGCCTTGCTCTATCGAACATTATGCATCCTGCATTTTTTCCTCTTGCGGTATCTACCACGGCAAGCAAGTAAAAAGCGCCATTATTTTCCCGACAACCTAATGTATTGTAGTGACGATTACACACAATGGCACAAAAAATCAACCAACAAAGCAATATTAATTTGAACTGGCCTCCTGAAAAAAGACATAAATACGAAATCAGCTCAATGCGCTGATTCCAATGACTCTACTCCTAGCGTTGAGAATCATTCTGATGCAAGTTCTGGGCTTTGTTAGATTACTGATTGACATACCATTATGAGAGGGTATATTGAAATATCATCAACTGAGTGAATGTTGTTAAAGAATTTAACGCAAGCGCGTAAGCACTCAAAAAATGATACCGTTACATTTGGTCGATAAGAACAGAAATTTCACATACAGATAAGGCAACAACTCGCTTCAGAAAGATACTCAGCACCTATAGACTGCGTATTTGGAATCAGCGCTCTAAGGCCCCGGAGAGACTTCACGCGATTTGATCGTCGCGACTGAATCGCGACGAGTCAACTGTTACAACATCATTCCAGGCCGATCAACTTGCATTTCGGTTGTGATACTTTTCCAGCCCGAAATTTTTGAATGTGAAATGAAAATGAATGGAAATGTCGGCGATTGAGTCGCGACGATCAATCGCGTGAAGTCTGGCCTAAGGCTATGGCAGAGTTCACTCGCCTCGTGATTCTCCAACAAGACAACAAGTCCATTGCATGACGATCATCTTGCATTTCGGTTGTGATAAGGGCCGGGCATACTTCACGCGATTTCAATCGCGACGCGATTTGGCAATATTCCAGGTGTCCATGACTCATTGTAAGCACATTATAAATGTACAGAAGATAGGGCATTTCATCAGTTTACATAAGTTATACACACTATGCATGTGCAGTTTGCTAATGTTGGATTCGCAGACTTCTGGCTAATTGCCAAATCGCGTCGCGACTGAAATCGCGTGAAGTATGCCCGGCCCTATAGATAGTCACGATTAGTCGTGTCGGAAAACTATCACAACCGAACCGCAATGCAAGATGATTGGCATGTAATGGATTCGTAAATGTTGCCTTATTGGAGAATTGCGAGGCGATGAAATCGCTTGAACTCTGCTCGAGGCCTAAGCTCATTCCGTTTGTATGTGTTATTATTCAAAGAGTAGTCTAAGCTGATATCCTTTCCGTGTAGGTTATGACTTCGACTTGAATGTACATGAATTCACCAGTGAAAAAGATGGCTCCTACTTCCTGATACCGCACTTGCTTCGAGCTCTCGATTCGGCATATGTATCTTCCTTCGTTCTCAATGATTGCTCGCACATGTAGTTTATTACCTTGGTTATATCTATCGTGTGAGCGCTCACAGTGTAGTAGCACTCTCTTTTCGTACTTCAAAGTGTCATTCTCATAGAACCCCTAAATAGATATCTCTAAGTGCTTCAATGTATATAGGATCAAAATGCAATTTGCTAGAGTGCAAAGCTATTGTTAGAGTCTCGCTTCTAATCCACGGAGTGTGCGGGTGAGAATCGAGGATAATTTCTCGTTTTTGTCAATAAGAACTCCACTCAGAAGATGTCAGTGTTCATACTTCGCGAAGCTGACATGACGCCTTCCGCTTACGGTGTACAATACCGCCCATAATCCGTCGATAAAGTCACCGAACTCCACCGAAATCACCGAAGTTAGCTTTTCTCGCATTGATTTAGAGTGGACAACTTCCAAATCCAAGGACACCTTCGACTCAGCTTCACGAGACGCATCTTTTGTCGAAAAGAGGTGCCGGTTTGGATACGCAAGGCTGGCAAATTTCATAGATCCTTGCCTACGGTATTTCACTCGGTGTGTGAGAAACACACTAATTAGCGTACATAAGCAAATCGGAAAAGATACGTGAAATATAAATGCCCAATGAGCATCTTCCTTAACAAACGGGTACCTCTATGTATCAAAAGATGCGTCTCACCAAGGTAAGGCAAGAGATTTTGTAAGACAAAGAATTTATTTACCCTAACTTCTCGCGTATAAGGCGCTGGGGATTTTCCAAAATCGACAAGCCCAGACAAGCCAAAGGACTTTACAACCAAAGGACCCTATAACGTGCTGTACATTGCTTGAGAGAATCGTGCGACGTAAAGATTTCTTTCCGGAATACAGCGAAGCGGCTGAGCGGCTCGCTTAAAAATTCGAAAAAGTGCGCTTTATACGCGTGAAATTAAGGTATCTGTTTTATTTGTGCACGTATGTGCGCTACACAAACCTGAAAGTTAGAGCGTCCAACTCAACGAACTCAAGAGGGGTTAGTAACATGTGACAGGCAAATGGACATCAGGTCCACCTCTAGAAATACAGGCTTTTATAAAATCAAGCTCATTACTGCTAGAACTGAAGCGTGGTTTCCCCAATCGTAAACAGAGATAAAAGTTCGCAGACCAGTCGGCCAAGTGTGCGCTGGTGCGCCCCTAACACCAGATGGCATGCCTGGAGCCTTCGGAATGACAGGTATACCGACTGAACCCCTGTCGAACCAGCCTTACCAGTAAAGGAATACTCTGGGCATAGGTTGAAAACTATCGGTGGGGTATCCACAGTGAATAAGAGCCGAGTAATGAGATGAATAAAATAGAATACATTTTGTTTAGATAGGTGTACATTGCGTCACGATCTGAACATACAGTGCTGGCCAAAAGTTTGCAGCCATTCCAGAATTTTGCTATATCTTACTCTTTTTCGCATAGAACGATTCCAAATTATGAAATTACGTGTATTTCACACTACTTAACACTATGTCAAGAAGTTTTGCAGTTACATGCACAATCTTTGGGGGAAATGGTGAAAACGGGTGAATTGAGGTTGGTCAAAACTTGCAGCCACTTTCTTCTAAATGTCTTTAAAAAACTTGTCACAACTTGTCACTTTCCAGTATGTGGGCTACAGATGCATCAATAAACCTTGAGATATGCAGTGCATTCGGCTTTCATCAAACTCCCAAAAAGGGAACTTTACGGAGCAAAGTTGCTTGAGCACAAAGTGACCGCAAAAATTGATTAAATCATGAGGTTGTTGAGAAATCGTCGGCTGATCCATGCTCCTATGAAAAGATTGTACATCTGGACGTTTAGTGGCGCTTTGCGACTGTGACAGAAAAGGGATTACTTGGCATGTTTCAAAAACTACCATCACCTTAACTCAGATTCGGAGCACCTTTCGGCTCAAAAATTGGGCTCAGCGGTCTGAGAAGTTCTCAAACCTGACTCAAACATTGCTCTCACAATGACGAACATTGGTCCGAAGCTCGGAGAACTCCAATGAAAACATGGAGGCGCTACTGCCAGAAAAAAATTTGCACAATCTTCACAGCTAATTAATCCCTTTGGCAAATCAAACATTTCCTAGGTGTGACAATTGCAAAAACTTTTCACTGACAGTAGCGCCTCTATATTTCCAATAGAACTCTTCGAGCTCCGGACCAATGCTCGTCTTTCTCAAAGCAATGTTCTAGTCAAGTTTGAGAACTTCTCAGACCGCTGAGCCCAATTTTTGAGCCGAAAGGTGCTCCGAATCTGAGTTAAGGTGATGGTAGTTTTTGAAACATGCCAAGTAATCCCTTTTCTGTCACAGTCGCAAAGCGCCACTAAACGTCCAGATGTACAATCTTTTCATAGGAGCATGGATCAGCCGACGATTTCTCAACAACCTCATGATTTAATCAATTTTTGCGGTCACTTTGTGCTCAAGCAACTTTGCTCCGTAAAGTTCCCTTTTTGGGAGTTTGATGAAAGCCGAATGCACTGCATATCTCAAGGTTTATTGGTGCATCTGTAGCCCACATATTGGAAAGTGACAAGTTGTGACAAGTTTTTTAAAGACATTTAGAAGAAAGTGGCTGCAAGTTTTGACCAACCTCAATTCACCCGTTTTCACCATTTCCCCCAAAGATTGTGCATGTAACTGCAAAACTTCTTGACGTAGTGTTAAGTAGTGTGAAATACACGTAATTTCATAATTTGGAATCGTTCTATGCGAAAAAGAGTAAGATATAGCAAAATTCTGGAATGGCTGCAAACTTTTGGCCAGCACTGTATCCTAAAAAATCACGAAACATCCTCCAGATCAAACATTCGCAGAAGGTCGTTGCTAAGCAGGAACTTCTTGAGTTTGGCTGAATTGTTTTGGCATGAAATCTTTATAAGCAGGCAGTGTAGACGACAAGTACGACTAGCAAAGGAATATCGCAGCACTCGCTTGCGCCAACCCTTGGACCTAGGAACACCTGTAATTAAAAATTAGGTCTCCGAATCTGACAAGGACGAAACGTCCAAAAATCGGAAAAATTTAGACGCACCTCCTTTCGAAATATCTTGTGAGCCTATAAAATGTCAGCCAAAATTCGTCTGTAGTACAAGCTTTTCAAATCAAAGAACGCTAATCTGCTTTATAGTGAGGAAGTGCTTCAGGATACTCCTTGCATGGGAATAGGCGATAAAACAAGATTTTAGTAAATGTCCGTTAAACTTTTTCTATTTCAATAAAATGTTTTTTCAGGCAGGGGCCCAGATTGGACTACACTACGCCAATATGGGAACAACGTAGGCCTTATATAATCTCATCCAGATACCTTTATCTGTTGTATGTATATTCCTAAGCAAGGAGTACATGATTCGTGAAGCCTTGTCGACTATACTATCAATTTGAATGGTTGCTTTTGGATTCAGAATTTATCCACACTAATGCAAGAGATGGCGATGCGATGCAGAGATGAAGTTCGGCGGAGTTCAAAGACATTTTCGATTAACTGTGAGGCCTACTGTAGGAGTAATCACGGTGATGCAATCATAAAGTATGATTGGCTCCCACATTTGTGTGGAGGCGGGTTGCGAACATTCCTGATTATAACGATAGACTTGAGAAAGCACGAAAGATGATGTTGCAACGTGGAGGTTCAACAAGTTTTATCCTTATATTCAGGGAAAGTCCACAATCGCATACAAATCTGGGAGCCGAAGAGACAGTACTTTCTGTACAAAAGTCACGCCCTATGGCTTCAAGATAAACGCGCCAGAGAAATCGCTTGCAATGGGGCTAGGTTTTTACATCTTATATATAAAGCTGAATGTCTGTTTGTCTGTCTGTCTGTATGTATGTATGTATGTGTGTACGTATGTTCCGAATAGAAAATTCCATTTCTGAACCGATCCGGACCAAACTTGGCACACATACACTTCGGGCCCCGGCGGGTGTCATGGGCTACTTTTCGTCATCGATCGATATCGATTTTATCGATTTTTATCGATTTTTTTGCTGAGTTCACCTACGGGGCTGGGAGTTGGCACAGGGGGGTAATCGAGCATGGGGATTCCGAATACAATATTGGTTTTCAGGATTATCGATTACTTTCATCGATTTTATCGATTTTTTTGCAAAGTTTGAACTAGGGGGCTGGGAGTTGGCACAGGGGGGTAATCGAGCATGCTGATCATCCCCAAGGGGGGTGATCAGCATGCTCGATTACACCCCTGTGCCAAATTCCAGCCCCCTAGCTCAAATTTTCAAAAAATCGATAAAATCGATAAAAGTAATGGACGATCCTGAAAACTAATATTGTGTTCGTAATCAGCATGCTCGATTACCCCCCTGTGCAAAATCCCAGCCTCGCATGTCAAAATTTACAAAAAATCGATAAAATCGATAAAAGTAATGGACGATCCTGAAAACTAATATTGTATTCGGAATTCCCATGCTCACTTCCCCCCTGTGCCAACTCCTAGCCCTGTAGGTGAACTCTGCAAAAAATCGATAAAAATCGGTAAAATCGACATCGATCGATAACGAAAAGTGGACTGTGACACCCGCCGGGCCCGAAGTGTATGTGTGCCAAGTTTGGTCCGGATACGGCGGAGCCGGGCAAGCCAGCTAGTAGGAAAATAAGGCAATAAGATACCTAGTCTGCGTTCAAAGCCGAATAAAATCACGTTTTCTAGCTTATCATAAACAACAGTTTTTAAGTGAAACCAAAACTTTTTTTTTGAGATAGAAAAGTCACAATTTTCGATCTTTCCGAAGGAAGATGAATTTTTGGTGTTATTTGCGGATAGTACCAAAAAAGCGGCATAAATTTGATTATTGTGATATGTCGTCATTGCTGCAGCTGCGTCTTTGTCCTGGTTGAGATTCTATCTACTTTACATGCTTTTTATCTCATACAGGTAAGATGTTTCACTTTTGTTCAGTCTTGTAGTGCATCTGCCACCCAACTACTCTGATTGAACTGTGTTTGAGGTTCGTTCAGCATTTTCTATAATGCTTCTTGTTTGTATGAGATTAAGAATTGAATTATCGGCTTTATTCGGGTGAGGAAAAACTGCAAGAATAAGTTGCCCTTCTTTTTTGATTTGGTGAAAAATGAATTCAGGGGATAGAAACTTTTTCCTTTGAGTAGAGGTCATTAGATATAGTCAATTTTTTGAAGTTACGAAACAAAGATGCTTCATCATGTATGCCTCAAAGCAGTTTTACCTGCATTGACGATGAAAAAGACGTGGCTCTACGACTTTAATAGACTAGCCAAGCGAATAGATAGACGAATAGTTTTGCACTCCTGAGATATTATAGAATTTGCTATTGGGCGCATCAATCAATTCAACAATGACAGGGGGCTTTTGTGGCTTTCGACTATGAAACCAACTACGTCATATACAGGGTGTCCCAAAAGTCTTTAAGCCTAGTATTTCCTCAGCTGCAATTGTACGAAGCAACACTGTCACATGAGATTCAGCAGGAATCTTGTGAGGAACCTACAGAATAACAGAGTACACTCAGTTTTTAAAAAACCCTTATTTGGCCTTCACACAAGCCTTCACATTCTTGCGGAACGCATGCATCGTGGCAGACAGATAGTTGACGTCAAGAATGTCTCACACCTTCTGAAGCAAGCGTTTCAGACTGCCCAAAATTTAGTGTGGAACAGAGCAAGCCTTGCTTTCTATACTGATCACAAAGAGAAGTCAAAGGCTCTTGAGCTGGCGATTAAAAGCACCTTGATCTGAGAAGAAGGTCTGCGAGATTCAACAAAAGTGTTAAAATGTAGCAATCAAGTTCTTGAGAACATCAAGAAAACAGCAATTCTGGTGTGCACAGAATGACTTTAAAATGATGATTCAAAAAAGAATGCAGAGCTTACAGCTAGGATTAGTGACTCAAACTGAATTGGTGTTAGAATTTTCAGCTTTCTCGGATTTTTCTTTCCAAAAACTTTTTCTTCTTATTGACACGGCACTACTTTGAGTGTTTGTATCTTAATCCTGCATCAATGAATAGAGACAACTGATTAATTTTGCAGTATAGACGTAGAGTGAAGCTAGCTCTACAATATGCAATTCAAGACTCCGCAAGAGCTTCAAAGGCAAAAGAGCTATAGATGTTTAAGTAAAAGTTACGTTTACACTGGGTCTTCCTCAAAATCGCAGTATTGTTTGCTCCAAAACAATATTTTGAGAATGTACAGCGCAAATGGTAAGATTTTCTTAAGGAATACTAAAAACTAAACAGAGTACTCATAAACAGAATTTGACTGAAAAGCGAGGAATACTAACAAAGTTACTACGTTGAGAAGTTAGGCTCAAAGACTTTTAGGACACCCTGTACAGAGTGTCCCAAAAAGATGTGCACACTGTTTGATTGTCAATAACTTTCTTGCTTCCATGTCTTTTGCCGAGGTTAAGGTACCATTCTGTAGAGCGAGGTTCAGCTTCGAATTGCAGGATGGAGCGAATTGTCAATCTCTTCATTACTGTAGGATTACGGTAGGAATTTCGAGGAGGATTTTAGGCCATTGAAAGCGGTAATTTGTCTCAGAAAGAAAGCCAAACAAGCCAGAAACTCTTGAACTGCGTTAATCGAGTTGCTGATTCTAAAGATGAAAACTGAACGTCAGTACACTGTTTCTTTCATGAGTTATATCAGTTTTAGGGTAACAACTGATTTTCCAATTTTGTCAGAAATGTGAATACGCTATCCAGAAAGCTCGAAAAACTGGTGGAAAACTATGTAGTGAGATCTGCACGCCTGCAAACCTTCACAAATTTTAGATTTTTTCGAAATTATTTCATCAAAGGCTTATTCCACAGTGGCGCTGTATGCTGAAAGTTCATACCGTGATCCGACAGTAACGAAGAGCGATTGGTGATTCGCTCCACACTATAAATCTGAGCTTATCCTCCCTCTACAGAATGGTACCTCAAGCTCGGCAAAAGACATGAAAGCAAGAGAGTTGTTAACGATCAAACAGTGTGCACATCTAAACTTTGATCTTAGCCAAAAGGCTTGCACATCTTTTTTGGGACACTCTGTATATGACGTAGTTGGTTTCATAGTTGAAAGCCACAGAAGCCCTCTGTCATTCTTTTTGGGACACTCTGTATATGAGGGAACGCCACTCACACTGAACTTTTCGAAGTACCAGTAAAGCTGGAAATCTGAGAATGTGTCTTTGGTTGAATTATATTCGCATTCCAAAGTGACCATCTTGGCAAAGGGCGCCGAGTTCACATTCTGTGGCTTTTTTTGGAAGAAGGCTGTAAGTTCTTTGGCTTAAATAACGAGCTAGAGTAGTTTATATCTGTTGGTTTGTCTTTATGTCTGTATTCCTGCCTGTCGCAAAATTAGTGAAGCGAGTTGCAGCCAAAGTATTGAGCTAGGACAAGGCTCGGCACGAGGTGACTAGTTGAAAATGCAAAAACGAAGTCCCCCTTGACTTTTGCGAATTTTGCGAAGTCCCCTTTGAACCTAGACCATAATCTCTAAAAAATATTCAAAAGACGAAACTTTGACTAGAAAAAAACTTTATTTGCGTCCTTTCGGCCACAAAAACGAAACCTTTTTGCTTTTAGTCCCAAGAAAGATACCCAACTTGCTTATAAGCCACCTGTGCCGAGCCCTGGCTAGAACTTGAACGTAGAATCCTATCAGCCTGTAGGTTAACTGTGCAAAAGTACAAACTGATCAGATAAGTGGAAACTTTAAAAAGTGCGTCAAACGGAACCACGCGACTTTTCGCCGCCACAGTGACCCGGTAGGTAGATTTTTTGAAAATCGTGGATTTGCCTTGCAAATAGATTTGCACACCATCGACTACGGTCCAAAAAGGAGCAAAAAGTCAATTTTTACGCAAATTGGGAGCCGGAATGGAATAATTGCGTAAGTGGTCATTTGCCGAATCATTTGTGAACGTTTTGTTTGAAGATGTAGATTGTACATTGAACTCACGGTTATGGCGGCTATCAAACCACGCAAATTCAGTAACTAAATCAAACTCGCATATAACCTGTGGTGAGACTTAGGCAGGCGCTATACTCCTCGAGAATTATAGCATGGCGACGATCGATACGCATCTAATGCGTGTAAAACCAGCGATTTTTGTCGCTGATATCGGCGATCGCCAATCGCTACGACTGGCGATCGCCCGTCGCCGATATTATCGCTAATATTGCTACTGTACTTTACATACATATTGATCACAAACAGGCGTCAAACGTCAAATCGATATATATGGAACGTGTAGTCGCCGAAAACTGGGAATCGCCAATCGCTACGATTGTCCATCGCCAATCGCTAATGTTGGCGACTCCATGTTGGATGCGTATCGATTGGACATGTGGCAACTTGTTAGCAAACAATACTCAAGCAAGACACAGTCGCCAATACTGGCGATTGGCGATCGCCAATCGTAGCGATTTGCGATCGCCAGTCGTAGCAGCTGGCGATCGCTAGTTTTGGCGACTACACGTTGGACAGGTACTGATTGAACAAGTAAACTCGTGCCAGAAATAAGCTAATAGCTATCTAATGTGCAGCTGCCAACTTTAAGGACTAGCAGTAGCCAATCGTAGCGATTGGCGATCGCCCGTCGCTATGCTATACTCCTCGAGGAGTATAGCGCTTACGTTACTCCCAAATTTACCGATCGCACATGAAAAAGCTCTCGTAATGAGTGTTGCAAATCATTCGTGACGATCGGCATGGCTTAGTGAGTTTTGAAGCTATCATTATGGGAGCACAAAGAACCAGGGCTCGGCACAGCGGGCACCGGGTCAAGCTGGATATATTTTTGGAGCGGAAATCAAAGGGGATATCATTTTTGCGGATTAGACGCCGCTGTTTGCTAGAATGCCAGAGGCACGCGCATGTTTGGTCGCTATGCCTCTATTCATTAGCATGCCGCCAGTATGCCACTCACACGCCAACGGCATGCTGTCGGTATGCCGCCGACATGCGGTGCCAACACAGCGCCGGGGATTTGAATTCTAACCCAAACAAACAAAAGCGTTGTTTACAAACAAAACACAATCATATGACACCAAATTTGGGGTGTGCAGCGCGGTGGGGGACTATGGCCCAAAAATTTATGAAAACTTATATAAGTGAAAGCTGTGCTAAACTTTTTTTCTTTTTCCTCTCTATGTAAACTTTTACAGTGTAGATATAATCTATGTAAAAAAATATGAAAACTTATGTGAGAAAAGGTATATTAGCCAATGCACGTTCTCTTTGTAGTAACATAGATCACCTTAAGTTTGTCATGGAGAATTGCGACACATCCATTGCGGCAATCACTGAAACTTGGTTAAATGATACTGTGCTAAATAGCTCCCTTTTTGGCAACTTGATCAAGGACTATGAATTGTACAGATGCGATCGCATTAGTAAGAGAGGAGGAGGAGTACTCTTGGTTCTAAATGAGAAGTTTGATTTATTTCTTGTGTTTAGAGAGTCTCTACTGGAAATTATGAATTACTGTGTTGTGATGTTATCTCCCATGCTAGTTTAAGATTCATTTTGGTCTACCGTGCACCCTCTTGTCCCCCTGCTGGCACCGAACAATTGATAAGAGCCCTCACAGATTTATTGGCTTGTTCCAAGAGCACCATTCTCATGGGAGGCTTCAACTTTCCAAATGTGAATTGGACAGACCCCTTTAAATCGACAGATGTTTCACTCGCTGCTAAGGACTTCATTCAAATGTGTATGCCTCATTGTTTAACTCAGAAAGTGGGGTCACATACGCTTGGCCAATACGTATTGGACCTCATTTTCACAAATGATGAGGATGTGTTGAGAGATATAAGTGTGGAACCCCCCCCCCCCTTGGGAAAAGTGATCACGCTTCAGTCTGTTTTCGGGTGAATCATTATAAATCACAAGATGCGGGGTGTGTTATGTATAGGGATTTCAAAAATATGGATCTAGATGGAGTGAGACAGCATCTCAGTGGCGTAGACTGGTACGGTTCATTCAGAACTGTTTCCACAGTCAATAAAATGTATGAAATGCTTCTCAATATACTTTATCATACTATTGAGAGCTATGTTCCCTTGGCAGAGAGTTCTTTCCGGAGTGTGAAAATACCTCAGTACCTTCAAAGATTTTATCAAATGAAGGAACAAGCATGGAAGCTGGCTGCTACTAGTAAAAATACTAGAGACTATGACAAATTTTGTGGATTGAATAACAAATTTACCAAACTGCTTAAAAAATACAATGTTTCTGTTGAGAGAAGAGTAATTGAATCTGGAGAGAGATCAGCGCTTTATAAACTGATCAATTAGAGACTCAAAGGTAGAAAAGAGCTGGAGGTTTTGAGAGATAGTGGGGAAGTTCTATGTAGTGACGGCGATGAAGCGGAATATTTTGCAGACTTTTTCGCTAAAACATTTGTTGAAGAGAACGATGAAAGTGAAATTGAAAGTGCTCCAAGTTACCAAAGTATGACTGATGGAGTATGGTTCAGGAGTGAAGACATCTATCAAATACTGATGAAGTGGCCTAAGTCAACTTCAATCTTCGTACAATTACGTTTTATCAAATCAATAGCAGATATACTAAGTGGGCCGCTTCAATTCATTTTCAATTTGAGCATGATGCGCGCAGAAATTCCGGATCGCTGGCGTGTGTCTTTTGTCAGACCTATTTCTAAGAAAAAGCCTCTTACTAGTCCAGAAAACTATAGACCACTTAGCATGACGTCTATTTTCGCTAGACTATTTGAGAAAATATTAAAAGGCATATTGTAAAGCATGATGAGGTTGGACGTAAACAATTACAAGATGCATTGGATGAGGTGCTTGATTGGTCACTGATATGGGATCTGCCTATTTCAAAAGAAAAAACAAAAATACTGCGCTTAGGTTCCAGTAATATAAGACACCCCTACAGTTTAGGAGGTAACCCACTTGCAGCTGTTGACTCAATTAGAGACTTGGGGTTTCTGCTCACAAGTACTCTCTCGTTTGATGAGCACTGTAAAGTAATTGCAGACAAGGCTACGGTGGCAATTTACAATTTGTACAGAGGATTGTCATGTACAGATCCTAATATTCTTTTGAAGGCTTACAAGACCTTTATTAAACTAACGTTGGAATATGGTACCATCATTTATAGTCCACATACTCAAAAGGCAATCAACTACTTGGAGAAAGTACAAAATAGTTTCACAAGAAAGTTACTGATTAGGACGGTTGGTTTCAATTATGATCAAATACCATGCAGTCAAGTCCGTAATGCAAATCTTGGGCTCTCAATCTTGCTCTCAAGTTCTTATAGAAGAAAGAAATTCGATTTTATCACGGTGCACAAAATAATTTGGAACATACAAGCTTGATTTGAGTAACTTTTTTGTGACTAGATCCTCGAATACTAGAGGTGGACTTAGAAAGCTTGTGTTACCAAAGGCTAGGCGAAATGTCAGAAGACACTTTTTCACGTGCCGAGTGGCACATGATGTAGATAAACTTTTGAGGAAGAGAATGTTCGTGGCTAAACTCGCAATGTTCAAAAAAGTTTTGAGAGGCTACCTGAAAACACACTAACACCTTTTTTTGTTCAGGTGCTGTGGTATTGACTGTTTTGTTGTTTTTGTTGTTGTTTGTTTGTTTTCTCTTCATAGGGGCATCCCTATGCACAAATATTAGGTCGTTCCGAAAGTTCTTTCCGTTTTTTCAGCCTATCATAAAAAGACGTGGAATGAGTGTAAGGAAACGCTTTGGGCACTATACGACGCAGCTTTTCTTCCTCTTTCTAGCAGTCATACTCCCATGTCGCTTACTCTTGTGATCACTGAGATGATGGCCGAAATTTCGAACCCATGGTTTTTACCATGTCCAACTTTGGCAATTTTTCACAATCTTCTTTTTTGACTTTTGGGAAAGCTTTGATAACAGCCAGATAGAGTAAACAAAGTGCAATACAATGCAATTTTTTCGCATATCCAGCTGGCCTTTCAGTATTTTTTGAGATAATTTTTCCAAAAGTCTTCACTTTTGCAAAGTCCCGAAATACAGCAACGCCCGAACACCTGCAAATCTACGGATTTTGAAGCTTTCAAAAGTCAGTTACGATTATCCACAATTTTTAAAAAGCAACTGAGCGTTTACCGCTTGGAAATATATAGTTTCGCATTTTACGTGTACAGGCTGGAGCGGGTTCAAAATCAAGAATTATGGAAACTTTATCGCCAATGACCCCATAAATTGGAAAGAAAATATATTCATTAGAAAGAGAAGGAAAATCTGCATCGAATGATACCCTAGTTGTGCGCCGTCTTATGTTCTATGGCTCTTGGCATCCTCAAAAATGGAATTTGATAGCATTAGGAAAATGATTCTAAAAAAATTTTAAAGCTAGCTATCAACGCCGAAAAATTGCACTAAATTGCACGTTGTTTACTCTATCTGGCTATTATCAAAGCTTTCCCAAAAGTCAAAAAGGAAGATTATGAAACATTGCCAAAGTTGGACATGGTAAAAACCATGGGTTCGAAATTTCGGCTATCATCTCAGTGATCACAAGAGTAAGCGACATGGGAGTATGACTGCTAGAAAGAGGAAGAAAAGCTGCGTCGTATAGTGCCTAAAGCGTTTCCTTACACTCATTCCACGTCTTTTTATGATAAGCTGAAGAAACGGAAAGAACTTTCGGAACGACCTAATAAATAAATAAATAAAGGGTCGGTGCCAGCTCAGCTGGGTCAGCTGAGCTGGCACCGACCCTTTGCTCACATAACTTTTCATACTTTTTACATAGATTGTATCTACATTGAAAAAGTTTACATAGAGAACGAAGACAATTTCATATTGTTTTCTTTTCAGAGTTTTATACCCATCTGAAAATTCCTCGCTGTCTGCAATCGAAAAATCTGCTCCAATCACGAAGCGCGCCCTAAGGCTCTGGCCGTACATTTATCCGTGTTACTGGTGTTACCCGTGTTACTCGTGTTACTGATGTTACCAGCGCTACGCTTTTATTGCTGTTGAATAGCGAAACGATCACAATACAGTCTAATTTTAAAACGCATATTACTGGTGAGTAACACGTGTAACACTAGTAACACAAGTAACACGGATAACACGAGTAACACTAGTAACACGGGTAACACGGGTAAAGTATGGCCAAAGCCTAGGCAAATGCAAAAAAAGGTCAAGGGGGCTTTATGTGAAGCTTTCAAAATCAAAGGGGACTTCGCTTTGCAATTTCCCTTGCCAGTCGTGCCGAGCCTTGCAAGGAACGCATGCGAGTAGTAGAAGCATTGGTATATCATGTCAGACAATGTACATAAATCATATGGGTTATTCTGATTACCAAATTTCAGGGAACTTTATTGAGATTTCGACATTTTTTTCGGCAACAATTTTTAGCTGATGTATGGTCGGTCTCCCAGAAAGCGACTATGTTTGCGCTATGCTTATGCTCCCTCTTGAATTTTTTCTCTTCTGGTTCATAAACAAATTAAGGAAAATGTATCTTAACCTCTAGTGATACTTATACCATTTTCATATTTCATACATTGTAAATCTCTCGGATTACCTGTCTCCTGTTTATCATTTCGTTCTTTTCTCTTACTGAGGATCTCCCCTCTACCCCTCTCGGATTGTCAGCAATTATCGCATAAACGAACCTTTTTTCGGATACCTTTTTCACCTTTAGGGTTCGGGAGCAATTGAAACTCATTTTGTAACATCCCAGGTCACGTCTTCACTAAAGTTGTGTAAATCCTCGGGGCCTGTCAGATGGTCGAAGAGTTTCCCCGCGTGGGAACAATTTTGCCTTACCAACGAGGCTACCGGTCTTCTCAGTGCAGCAATATAGTGTAAATTAGCTTACTTGTTTCCTCGTCGTGAACCATAATATCTCGTCGTGCAATGACTGTAGTAAGCAGCAGAATGCTCGTAGACCACATATGGAGCCTGCTTTCAAAGGATGCACTCGTGAGCGACTCAACACAGACAGAGAAGAGGTAGAATGGTCTTTATCAGTCATTTGAAACTGATCGAAAAACCACGTTTCCGACGCATCGAATCGCGTTCAAACAGGCAAGAAACTAATTTTTGCAAACTTTAGTTCTCATGGTGAGAGCGAGCATTTTATGCATTACTGTACTACCTCCACGATAAAGCTCGGATAAAGGCTAGTCCTGGACAAAGACGAATGCCCATATGAGGTAAGCGAGGCAAAAGGTGCGCGTGCGATAATTGACCTTACTGCGTTCCAATCGATCCAGTAAAATTATCTCTAGCTTTTACTCAAAGTGAGCCCTTGTCAATATTTGCCAATAATCTGTTAAAAGTCTTTGTTTGCGTAGCTGCATAAGAATGATAGCTTGTAGGCGATACTTGGCACCTAGAGACAGTGTACGCAAACGTCGGCATCTCTCTAGATTGAACACAATTTCACTTCTCTCACCACCTGCTATTTCTGCAAGACACGAAGTATCTTGTTCCTACGCAACAGCGTCAGTCTCTGCGTACGATGTATGGCCTATAAGCAAAATCATTCCCACACCTATTATGGAACAAAATGCGTGGAACAAGAAATCGGTACATCTTTGAAATTTATCACATAGTTCCTAGGCATTTATGTGAATTTGAAGTCAATCATATAGTTAATCACAATCATTTCATACTAAATATGCTTTTCACTGAGATCGCTCGTCTGACGCGGGGTGCTTGTGCAGACGTTGCTCGAGGTCTGCGATCCAAAGAACGTCGTCTAAAAAATATCGTTTTTTGATGTTTCTTGAAAAAATTATGGAAGGAAAGGATTGGAATCGTTCGGCATAAAAAATTTCCACTCTTATAAAGCTACTGCATGACGAAGGCGCAGAAGCACTATTAGTTGCGCGGACGCGAACGCGACGCGCACGTATCTTTGTCGTTGTAAGTCCTGCGCCTCATGCGCTCTGCGACTAATAAAGCCGCGTTCGCGCTCAAAGGTATTGCGCCTTCGTCATGCAGCAGCCTTTATATGTAAAACCTAGAGGGAATTTTTGGTTCTTTTGTTATGTTCTTATTATTTTACTATTGGCTCATTTAGATCTTACCTATGCGCTTCCTATTTGTTTATTTTAAACACTTCACAGTGTTTCGTCTTGATTTGCAGATCAATTAATGTTTGCGCCTTTAAACTTATTTGATCTTATGATTGTGCGCACATTCAGCGCTGTTTCGCAATATTCAAGATGTTCGCAGCTGACTATTGTCTTGTTATTGGTCTTCAACGGATGAGCGATTTTTCCTTTTAATGTTTAGGGTATCCCAAAAATTACCTACTGTCTGATTGTAAATAACTCTCTTGTAATGAAGAGTTTCGAGAAGCTTTGGGTATATTCTTTAGGGCGAGGTCAACTTAGACCTACAGTATGGGGCGAATAGTATCGCTCTTCATTACTGTAGGATTACGGTACGAACTTCGACAAGGATTTTAGGCCATTGGAGGCCATATTATGCCTCGGAACAAAACAAAACAAGCCAAAACTCTCCTACTATGGTAATGGAAGCCGCTGATTTTGGGTTTGAAATTCCCATTTTACTGTGATGCTTCTTTCCTAAGTTATCCGCGGTAAATCGTAATAACTCATTTCCCAGCATTTTTCAGAAATATAATTACACCGTCAAAAAAGCTGAAAACACTCGTACTTGTTAGGTGGAGTCAGCATGCTCGAAAACCCTAGTACACGATTTTTCAGATTTTTTGAAAAAAATTTCGTCAAGTGGTATATTTCACAATGGTTCCATATGCTTCTTACCGCAATCCTACACTGATGAAGAGCGATCGATGATTCGCTCCATATTGCAAATCTAAGTTTAACCTCGCTCTACAAAATGGTACCTAAAGCTTTTCGAAACACTTCATTACAAGAGAGTTATTTACATTTAAACAGTAGGTACATTTTTTGGGCCACCCTGTATTTGTGTACGGTACCGCGGTTCTCATCTATTAGGTCATTCCGAAGGTAATTTCGCTTTTTTCAAATGGACGCCACATGTGATGGAACAAAGATCTCTAAGAGGTCTTGGTAGCATTCGATGCATCATTTCATTCTCTTTCCAACGGTTATGAAATTGTTGCAAAACAGTCAATGAGCTTTCAGAAAATAGCCAAAATCTGCGACCCATGCTTTTTGAGATGGTCAAGTTTCACGATTTTTTAAAACTTGCATATCAATCCTCAAAAGGAGTTCATGTAAGGATTCGATAGAGTAAACCTTATAGAATACAGCACCACTTTTGTCTCCTTTCCATATCTTGTCATACATTTTTAACAGAATTTCAACTGATGCTACCGATTTCCATACTTGAGCAGCTAAATCCTCGTAGAACAACAAAAGAAAAGCAGCTCGAGCACTATTCGATGCAGCATTTTCTCCTCTTTCTAACAGGTGTTTTCTGTTTCCGATTCGTTTAGTTTCCGGGAAGAAATCATCAAAATTCATTTTCTTAGCGAGCCCCAGGCTGTACCCGAAATACTCGAAATTTGATATTTCGAACCCGTAGACCCTCACTTGCTCTGTGAAATTAATGCTAACTCATAGTACCATCTTGGTAGTCTCAAATTCTGAGAAATTATGATGTTTGATGCCATCGTGGCTGAGGTGGGCCTGCCAAAATCCGATAGTTCTGTTAAAAAATCTTCTAAAATATTACGGCGAGCTATGACGAAGAGAAAAAAGTATTGCTTATTCTATAAGGTTTACTCTATCGAATCATTACTTGATCTCCTTCTGAGGATTGATATGCAAGTTTTAAAAAATCGTGAAATTTGACCATCTCAAAAAGCATGGGTCGCAGATTTTGGCTATTTTCTGAAAGCTCATTGAATGTTTTGCAACAAGTTCATAACCGTTGGAAAGAGAATGAAATGATGCATCGAATGCTACCAAGACCTCTTAGAAACCTTTGTTCCATCACATGTGGCGTTCGTTTGAAAAAAGCGAAATTACTTTCGGAATGACCTAATATATCAACTGGAGAACCTGCCACACAAACTATTAGGTTGTCTTGAAAGTTCGTTCGCACCATTTTCAAAAAATCATAACTTCTTTGCGTCATAACCTTTTTGAGCAATTTAAATTTTTGTTAGAAAGCGTAAAGCATGTAGTTTCCAATATTTTCCTGGTGACTTTCCAACATGCTCAGATTGCAGAGATAAAAATGAAAGAACGGAAAAGTACTCTGCGTTGATACCACTGCTTAAAACTCTAAAAATCTAGAAACTGTGCAAATCCAGAAAAGCCATTATCCTAATTCTTCTTATATTTGATTACTAACTGAGTTAAGTTTGGGCTGATCGAGCTCTTCATTCGAATGTTATGATTTTTTGAAATAAAATGCCCAAAAATCAATTTCTTAGGAATTCTTAGAAAATTGATTTTTCGGCATTTTATTTCAAAAAATCATAACTTTTGAAAGAAGAGCTCGATCAGCCCAAACTTAACTCAGTTAGTAATCAAATATAAGAAAAATTAGGATAGTGGCTTTTCTGGATTTTATCGCGCAGTTTCTAGTTTTTTTAATTTTTGCTTAAAAATTCCGAATTTCGGATGTTTTCGTTCTTTCATTTTTATCTCTGCAATCTGAGCATGTTGGAAAGTCACCAGGAGAATATTGGAAACGTCATGCTTTACGCTTTCTAATAAAATTTGAATTGCTTAAAAAGGTTATGACGCAAAGAAGTTATGATTTTTTGAAAATGGTGCAAACGAACTTTTGGGACAACCGAATATTTAGTGCATTTTTGGAAGAAAATATCAGTTCCTTTCGTTTTTACCAATTACTGCCAAGTTATTGACCGCTCGGACTGGGCGTAGATTGCGAAGCGAGCATCGTGTTTCCGAAAGCTGTAGCAGTACAAGTGTCATTGTGCAAATCGTGCTCTCGTGATGTAGCGCTACGCGCTTGATGTGCTCCGCAATCCACGGCCAATCCCGCGGTCGACAACTCGACTATAATTTCGTGTCTCAAATGGGAAGTACGGATGATTTATATAATACTTGGCAGTTACGAGATTTAGCGTTACTCAAAACTTGGACAGGAAACTGAAAAGCTTACCTATTTTTTGACGATGGAACAAATTGTCGCGGGCATGTATTACTTGGTGGCAGCCATGGGAGTGGGGGTGGTTCCGAAAAGTTGAGTGAACTTATGCTTTGCGCTAGCAGTCTTTCATTCTCCTAAATAGCTTTAATTCATTATATGCAAAGAAAAGTGCCAGAAATCTGCAAGAAAATCCAAAATTTTAATATTTACTAAAATAAGCAAGCTTATTTTACCTTCAGTTCTAGCCATGTCTCATAGGTTTGCTGCGCCAACAATTCGCGGTATTCACGCTCTTCCTCGAGTTGTTTCCTTTTTACTTCCTCTTTTTCGGCTAATTCACGTTTACGTGCAAGTTCCGCCTTGTCCTTATTTCTTTTCCTACAATCACAAACCATTTAAGAACAACTACTTGAAAGGCAAATTTGGATTAGACGGGATAGATAGTTAGCTGACCAAGCTTCAAATGCCTTCTCAGCTTCCTTCTTCGCCTCTTCTTTCTGTTTTTGCTTTTCCAAATCTGACTTCGACGACGAGGTACGTGGTCGCGAGTGTGATCGTTTCCAAGCTTCGAAAGTCTGAACGCATGAGGGATAACAACAGTTTTTTTTTTCAAATGAGGCAGTTTACCTTCTCAGCTTCTTTCAACTTTTGCTTTTTTGCTTCCTCTTCGGCCTGTTGTTTTTCTTTCTCTTTAACCCTTCTTTGCTTGCGCTCTTCGCGAGCTTTCTCATCTCGTTCCGCTTTCCATCTTTCGAACAACTTCTTTGCGTTCTCTTTTCGTTCTTTCTCTTCCTAAACAGTGAATGTTATCGATGGCTTTGAGCCAATTATGTGTTTACCTCCTCTTTCTTCGCTGCCTCAGCTCGTTGCCTCGCTTTTCGTTTTCGCTCCTCTTCCAGTTTCTTCTTGAGCCAAGCATCATGCTGACTGCTTGCGCTGGTGAACGTAGATGGCGTGGGGTGATCTTTGGCATTCCTGCATTCCTTGAGTTTTTAAAGGAAAAGGAGAGACAACCATAGTAATCATGTCTCACAGTTATGCTTGAATCATCTCAAATTACCACTTATCTTATAAAAGGACAACACTCATTGTTAGTCTGACTTTGTATTATTTTCTCTACCTGCTTGTTTTCTTCTCCTCCTCTGCGTGAGTCGACGGAAGATTTCGCGGAGCAGGCGCTGGTGGCTTTGGCGGTGATTTTGCTGGGCCATCCGTTTTCGATGCTGGCGATAAGAGGTAGGTGCCGCCGGATTCAGAAGTGGATGGTCGCGATAGAAGTTTTTTACTCTGCAATTAGAATTACTGGACAAAGATATAAAATTTTTGGTACTGTCGATTTTGCACCACCATCAATGCAGCTCTTCACCTTTGAAGTGAAAATCCGCTTTTACGGGTTCAAGAAAGAACCTTGAAAATCAAAAAATAAGTTTCAAAAATTAGAAAAGAGATTGAAAATTGGCAAAAGTCATTTCCTCGATGAATTTGAAGAGGAAGCATCGCGTACCGATGTGCTGTTGTTGTTGGCGTCTTCTTCCGCTTCCTCCGTGATTTCGCTAGGTTGCCGAACTCTCTGGTTTTCCTTTACATCCTTCAAGTTCACCAGCGATCGACGTCGTATCTCGTTTCTAAATTGTTGGTTGATTAGGGTATAAATTTTTTAGGAAGATTCCAACCGCATCAAAAGGAATGTATGTAACTATCATTCTCTGTCTTATCTTATCAAAAAACAAATTCCAGTTTCAATCATGAGCGAATGATTGGTGCTGGAATGGATAGTACGATTCATTTATACTCAGCACTATTACTCATGCTTGATGGCTTTTGACAAGGCGGCAGGGTTTCGTTACGAGTTGGAACGAATATATAAGCGATTTCTGAATAACGAAGACTCAGAACTCGATATTCCAGCCGCTGGAGAAATGCTCAGGGGTGAGTCAAGTACAAGAAAAAGTTAGGCTGACCTACATTACCAGTGTGGAACGTGTTAGTAGTATTACTAGTGTTACCGCTTTTAACTCTGGTAATAAGGGTAACACGATAAACACGGTAACACTGGTAACACGAGTAACATCAGTAACAATAGTAGCACGAATAACACTGGTTATGTATTGTCAAAGCCCTAGTAAATAACAGTGGAATATACAGGTGTCCGTAAAGTATGTATACACTGTTTGATCGTTAATATCTTTCTTCCCAACAAATCTTTTACCTTGCTTCAGGTACCGTTCTGCAGAGCTGGCCAACTTACATTCGCAGTACAGAAAGAATTACCCCTCTCTCTTCATTATTGTAGGATTACGGTAGCAACTTCAAAGAGGGTTTTGAGCGATGAAAGGCCATATTTTGCCTCAGAAAGGAAACAAAACAGCCTGAAAGCTTTTACACTAGGTTAATTAGAGTTGTTGACTCTAACTGTAAAGTCCCAAACTTATTATGATGCTTCATTGAAGAGTTATGCCGGGTAAGAGGTAGCAGCCATTTTTTCAATGTTCCTAAAAATTGCGGTTAACCGTTTAGAAAGCTTCGCAATCTTATGAGCAGTTGAGTATTAAACTCAGCTTCCATAAAAACCCTATTACACAAGTTTTCACATTTTTTGAAAAATTTTGAGACGGCAGCTTTTTCCAAATTGACACCATATGTTTCAAGTTTCTACCGTAATCCTACAGTAATGAAGAGCGATCGGTGATTCGTCCCATATCGGAAATCTAAGTTGAAGCCAGCTCTACAAAACGGTACCCGAAGCAAGGCAAGAGACTTGTTGGGAAGAAAGATATTAACGATCAAACAGTGTATACATACTTTACGGACACCCCGTATATGATTTTTCAGTTGGCGTAAGAGAAAGGCATTGCTTCAGACTTTTGATGCTAACAATGATAAGTATCAAATAGTGAATACGACTGCCTAAGATTTCCTCTTTTTGTCTTGCTGTGACATCAGTGAAGTAAATGTTAGCAGAAGGAAAAAAGATGATATGCTTTGCAAACTTTTTTCGATGATGTCAGTGAAGACATTGAAATGCAGAAATCAGCTGCAAATCCACCTTCAAATGGTTAGCCAAACTATAGATGAATTCTTTAATTTAGAGCTTGACTGGTTACATAAATTGATGCTCTATAGTTCAATAGTACCATGCGTAATTGTTTGCCTTCTTGGGTTATTTCATGTCTATTTTTTCATGATGTAAGTCGAAGCAAAAGAAATAATCAACTTGATTGATTCAAGCCCTTAGGTACACTTCTAACGAAGAAATACGATCTGGTATGTATTACCTTGTCATGATGCCACCGGTAAGTAGCTACCTGTACCCACATGAAGGCATAGGCCCTCAAAAGAATCGGTTTTGAGGTAACAGTGGCAACATCGCTGATGGCCATGTTCATTCCTCGTTCAGCTGGATTTCTTTCCGCTGTCACCACAACGTAGGCTTTTTGTACCATGTGACTTTTACAGTGCGCTACCGTAACCCGAGCCAAAGTATACATTGCTCGAGAGCCTGCAGCTTTTTTAGGCAAATAAGGAAATTTTATACGAGCAAGCTTCAGCATTAATCATCGTGAGCTGCGAGTTCATCACGCGCGGGTATGTGGCATGCTGTAGCACAGGGAGACCCATCCCACATTCCCATTCTACAAACTACCGAGTAATTGTAGATACTACATGATATGCATGTTCATGATAGTGCAACTGATGTTCGATATGTATGGATGTCGACGGGCATTGGCCCGTTACCTTAAAAGGGTTGGTTGAGCGAATCCCACTTCGGTTGGATATAATCCCTTGTGCAGAATCGCATCAAAATCAAGTTGGCAGTACCGCCGTATGCCTCGTATTGCACCTGCCTACCAGAAATACGACCTCGATTGTGAGTTTGCTCAAAAAATGCTTTTTTTAATCATTAGAACGGAATGGATGTGGGTTGATTACGATCAAGATAGTCCCATTCCAGAGAGAGGATAGAGCATCAATACAAAGTAAAATGTAAAAAAAATTTAGTGAAAAAGCGCGAAAGAGTCTAGGCTGATATATCCGACTCCAAATTTAGACAAAAGCAATGCCTTGGTTATGTTTTTTTTTTTCAAAAAGTGCAGCTTAGTTTCGGAAACGACGCCTCTGGACCTGTTAATTTGTAAAGCTATTTTCAGGCGAAACATTCTGAACATTGAAGCGTGTATTCTACAAACAGTAATTGTTCGTATTGTTCTACAGATATTAGAGCTTATTGCATATTTTGAGTTGAGACATCGGCACCATGTGTAAGTCAATGTACAAAGTGTCCGTAAAGTATGTATGCACTGTTTGATCGTTAATATCTCTTTTCCCAAGAAGTCTTCTGCCTTGCTTCAGGTACCGTTTTGTAGAGCTGGCTTCAACTTAGATCTGCAGTATAGAACGAATCACCCATCTCTCTTCATTACTGTAGGATTACTGGAAACTTCAAAGAGGGTTTTGAGCCATGAAAGGCCATATTTTGCCTCGGAAAGGAAACAAAACAGCCTGAAAACTTTTATACTAGGCTAGTTAGAGTTGCTGGTTCTAACTGTAAAGTTCCCAACTTATTATGATGCTTTGTTGAAGAGTTATGTCAGGTGAGAGGTAGCGGCCATTTTTTCAATGTTCCTAAAAAGTGCGGTTATACCGTTTAGAAGGCTTCTAATCTCGTGAATAGTTGAGTATTGAACTCAGCGTCCGCAAAAACCCTATCACACAAGTTTTCACATTTTTTTGAAAAATTTCGAAACGGCAGCTTCTTCCACATGACACCATATGTTCCAAGTTTCTACCGTAATCCTACCGTAATGAAGAGAGATGGATGATTCGTTTTATACTGTTAATCTAAGTTGAAGCCAGCTCTACAAAATGGTACCTGAGGCAAGGCAGAAGACTTCTTGGGAAAAGAGATATTAACGATCAAACAGTGCATACATACTTTACGGACACCCTGTATAATATCTAGCCAATCGGTTAAAAATAGAAGACTCCCAAAAACTCAAACTTTATCAAATGGAAGTGGTTTTTTCACAGAAACTTCTTAACGATAAATCCTGATGGACTGATTGATCTGACGTGAAATTATTGTCGGTTGTTTGCGTTATTCTACAGAAATATCGTAGTTATTGAAAAAAAATCAGAGTTAGCAAGGAAATTCATTTTCTGGTTTTCTTCAGATTTTTCACCATATCAAATCTTGTAAATATTATATCAATGTACATATCATTGTATTTTGCTTATGTACTGATAGAAGTAGCAAAGGTTGGTTTTGTTTTTCTCTTTTACGGTCGAAAGTGAGACGCCCGGATGAAAAAGTTGATAATTCCCCTTATGCCTTGCTTGTTTCTATTCTGCATTTGTTACGTTACAAATTTGTCATAAACCATTGTCCATCAATTCTTAAAACCGTGGTTCTATCTTTGTGAAATAGAATGTATACTGTAATAAAAGTTATGGGTTTATGGCAAAAGTGAAAGTTCGTTTTGTCCATTTTAGGATAGGTTGGAGCCGTACCGTTTTGCATTACTATTCAAAATCCAAGATAGCATAATGTCCCTACCAGCACATCAAAAGCTAATACTGGACCTCGTTGTGGCACTGGATTGGATTAAAAATGTCAAAAATCTCCCCGCTTCTAACGTTGCAATGTGTGAGTAATTATTTCTGCACATCTGGTTTGGTAGGAAGAAGAAGAACATGTTAAAGATAAGAGTATAATTTGCAGTTTACTTGAATTTCTTGCTTATATGGGAATTCCTCCTTGTGTCGCTTTTTTCCACGTATGCATTCGAACCAGACAAAACCAAGTTATTCGACGTACTTTACCGAAAGCAAGATGAAGAGGAGGTAAGCTGTGAAAACTTGGACTACGAAAGCTCCTGAGCAAAAGAACAGAGTGTTCAGGATCTCAAAACGGCTTCAATACAACAAGAAGAGTTTTTGAATTCCGTATTATCAGAATCTTGGTGAGTTCATTCTAACCTACAAATTTTCCAAGCAATTTTTTTGTTTGAAATTTTCGAATCAAAACTTCTTTCAAATGTGCGAGTTTAGTGAGGAAATACAGCCTCCAGCCAGGCGTACAAGATCGTATCTGAAGGTAGGTTTGGTGGTATCTATCGGGCTCACATGAATTTTTCGTGCCCCCAAAACCGTACCTAAATTCTAATTTTTGAAGATGATTTAGCGCTCTTGAGGAGTGCACATTTGCAACGTTTGTCTGCACTTTTTGGGGTTTTTCTCCACTTTTCTTCTATGCCTTCTATAACTGGATCGACAATCAAACCAAATTTAAATCTTATCTTTTCGAATAAGTGAAGGGTAGATTATGTACCTAAACTACACACATTTATTTTTTGTTCAGGTGTGAACTCTGTGACCGTTATATTCAATTCATTTATAGATTTTTTATGCGGAGAAACATTGTTTGGATCTACTCATTGCAATGATAATAAATTTACTTACAGTTTCATTAAAAATTCGTCTTCTGTCGAATCGGTTGTTGAGGAGAGATTGGATTTTTGAGCCTCGTCCAACTTCTTCGATTCAGAAGATGTTGCTGGGTCCTACAAAGAATCTCACATTACTAAAGTAGTTGTCTTAATCTGGCCATATGAAAATTGTAGCGTTAATCTGAATAAACATCATATGCACGTATAAAATAGGAAAAGTTTTTGCCGTCTCTTACTTACTATCGAAGCCATACAGAATATCAAAGAATCCTACAATATAAATGCAAGATTTCATCTGATAGAATTCTACTCTCATTGACTAGAAAAAGTTGGCTTAATTCGTCTATGTATAATTTGCAAAAAAAGTCCGAGTGGAAATTTCTAGCCATGGCTTGAGAGTTTTATGAATTATCTCCTGTTTTTAAATTTAAATTTTACAATAACGATAACTAAAGGTGGAGTAAAAAAGTTACTCGATTTTCTTCTGAGCTGCTCACAGATTCCCTACCATGTCGTGTTGGAGGACGTCCGACGGCGGCCAGACCTCCTTGATCTGAAACGAATGCGGTTATGAACAAATTTGGTAGTTTGAATCAGCAAAGCTTCAATTTCATCTTCGAGAGATAACTCTGCAATTCGCTCTGATCTGACAATAAGATCAACAAGACAGCCAAAGAACAAAATAATTTGTAATCAGAAATCATAATTATTTGCAATTTTCTTCGATAGGAATGCAAACATGCAAGTACCTTTTTTCATAGAACTTGAGAATTTTTTTACAATTTCTACATTAAACTTGATAGAGGCATAGACTTAGGAATCACTGAGCTGCAAATTCTATCATGTAAATAATAAGGTCGTCTCTTCTGCATCCCTTGTAATAAAGATATTGACTCAATCACCACTCGAAAAATGAATACAGTGGTAAACATCTGCACCACTATATTGCAAGCTCAAAATGAACCAATTACTTTGGCAAAAGTAAAAATAAAGTCATGAAATCGTTTCACTTTTGGTAACTGGAAGTTCAGAAGAAATAACTTCTTGCAAATTCAACCTAACTACGGAGTCTCACTTACATACTGCGCGATGTTCACCTCCTAGCATTTAGCTCAATTTGTCTCATTATGTTTTTGTTGAAAGGCAGGAAAAAACTCATATTGTGTATGCTAATTAACGCAAATGGTGACCTATATAACGAGAAATTACCGTTATTTTTCCATAAGAAAACAAAGCGTATGACTGAAAAAAAAAAGAAATTGCTTACCGTTTTTATTTCGAACTCCACCCAGCAATTCATCCAGAGTTTGATTGAAGTTCAGGCTCCTAGTTTTGTTTGTGAGCATCTGCAACGAATGACTAAAGACCTTGTTCAACAAGCATGGTGGAGGAGGCGAGACAGTAGTTGTTAATTAAACATAAGAAAAGAGATTTTGGTGCAGAACGATCTTGGTGCTCAAGGCATTGGCTCGAAAGAGATTGGTCTAAGCAATAGATGATCTAACATTGAAAGAGCATTTTGTATTTCTTTACTCAGATTCAATATTGACACGCTCTAAAAAAACTTCAACAAGAAAAAAAAAGAAATCTTACTTATACTGAAGGATTGGTAACTTGGTATAGTGTAAGGTGACTTATTTCACTGCGCCATGTCAGCTCCCCTACATTTTTTGTGATCATATCATGTGGGATGATTTTGGGAATCTAACCTATTTGGACCGCGATATACTATGTCTGTGAGAAAGAACAAGGTCCCAGAATGATTCAAATAATTTTTTTTTTGAAAGGGCTTAATACATTAGATTGCTATAAATGTACAACTCCACATTTTAAAGATAAGCATGTAGAGGTAAAGCTCCGATTTTCTTCGAAAATTATTTTTACAATGATGACGGATATGAACAGGACCTCAAAAGTAACCAGTTTTCTTGAATTAATTCTTCAGTAGCTGTAAAGTTCCGTTAAAGCTTTATGTTCGAAATTTTGCAGGGCAAGTTTTACAACGACTGCAAGAAATTAATCCTCCAAAAATGCATTGAAACTACTCAGAGAATTTTTGAATAAAATCCATATCAGGTCAGAGACGATGTAGACAAGTGACGTGTGATCCACAATCATAACTCTGGATTCAAAAAATTAGCTGTAAATAGCACAGAGTGAGTGCATAGAGGTAGAGTATCTATCAAAAAAAAATCTTATACTCGTACTTTTGTCGTCTAAAAATGAATGAAACTCAATACAAAACGAACACCATAGAGAATGATGGATTTTTGTTATAAGCTTACCAAAGAATGCGTTAGTAGAAACTGCATATGACGACATTCCTACGGGCAAGTACTGCTTACGATAGCTAGCTCAAAAAAAGCCGCATATAATACGTGCCTATATTATCACTCCAAAGTTTCGAAAAATATTCATAATATACCCAGCTCCAGATGGTATTACGTCAGTAATAACTATCAAGCGACAATGACACTCTTCGATGATCGAAAACCGCATGCTGGAAAAGTAATGGACCGTGATAATATGCGGTGAAGAGCGAGAGTAACATGAGCATATGCTGAAGTGAGTTGCCGAGGTAACGCGCGTTAGATAACCGAGTGTAAGAGAAATTGAAAATATTGTGCACACAGGTGAGACGGAGACTCGTTGCTATAAAAAATATGACTTTGGATCTTCTTGCGAGCTGTGAACTTTTGCTAAGAGGGTTCAAATGTATTTCGCTTGACATGTCGGTCATGAAGCTTTCCTTTGTTCAGAAAGGACGGATGGTGTGTCAATGAAGCATCCAAATTTATGATGCAAACTACAAATCCGTTTCCTATTACCACAATATCTCTTCTTTTTTGGATGGATTGAATCAAGCGTTTTTGTTATTATGCATGTATTTACTGGTTCTGATTATACACTGAATATCTACTTGTTGCCAAAGGCTGCACTAGGTAATAGTACGAGATTACAAAGTCAGGCTATGACATAGGACCGTTTGAAATTATAGCAAATCTTGAGAAACACCATACTTTTCTAGACCTACATAAACCAAATACACCTTAGTATCGTACTCAATGGAAGAACAATCCCATGGAGAAAATAGTATACATTTACATCATAGGATAGCCTATTGCAGTGAGTAAAAGACGCAGTAGGTTGCTCACCGAATTTTCATTGAAACCGCTCAAATTCAAACAATTCATAAGCTTAGTAGTCTTATTTCAAAGTGATTACTAGTAAGTTATTATTCGAGCAGTCACTTCAAAATTCAGTAGGTAATACTTGGTCATACCTCACGCAATTTGGCAATATTCCACTTGTCCATATCTCATCGTGTGCGCACTCCGAATGTGGAAGAGATAGGGCTTTTTATCAGGCTGCGGTACAGACTATGCATTTGCGGTATGCCAGTGTTGGATCTGAAGAAATCGGGCAAACTGCCAGATCGTGTGCGATATGGCCAAGGCCTAGATTTTACATTGCGAGTAATCCAATTATTCGCCGTCGGATGTTTATAGCAAATTACCGAAACTGCTACTTGGTGTCTTTTACTTGTTTTTTTTTCTTTCATGCAATAGATCAAAGCTTGCATGGGGAAGTATTCGGAAGGCCAACGAAGCTGCAATTTCATAGCCTAAAATAAGTTCGTTTTGGCATGTAAATTTTCATGAAATTTTCTTCATCATGGGAAAGAAGTCCGAAGCTTCCTCTATCACATTCGAATGTTTAGGATTTTCTATCATCAGTAAAAACAGTTGTGCATCAATATGGGTGATATCCTCGATATCTATATCATTTCAAATAGCAAAATTTCCGAAAGCTCAGTTCTTTGATTCCTAAGCTTGATTTGCATGCTGTAATGGATGTAGAGAACAGCAGCTCGGTATTTGGATACAGGAGTTCTCCCTATCCTATTTAGTAAATAACAATAAAAATTGTAATCTGCCACTTTGAAAATCTTTTGTCAAAAAACCAAATTCCTCACTATGAGAAAATTGGAGTTTCTCACTTTTTTGCGGTTTTCCCTGGAAGATAGATTCTACTCAAAAAAATTCATACTTCATTTCCCATTAAAGTGCTCTTTCCAGAGATACTAAACACTGGACAAAAATTGAAGCATTTGTAAGACCCGCAAAAAACTGCCGAACTTATTTATTAGGTCATTCCGAAAGTAATTTCGCTTTTTTCAAACGGACCCCACAGACGATGGAACAAAGATCTCTAAGAGATTTTGGTAGCATTCGATGCAGAATTTCATTCTCTTTCTAAAGGTTATGTAATTGTTGCAAAACTGTCAATGAGCTTTCAGAAAATAACCAAAATCTGCGACCCATGCTTTTTGAGATGGTCAAGTTTTATGATTTTTTAAAACTTTTATATCAATTCTCAGAAGGATTGCAAGTAACGATTCGATAGAGTAAACCTTATAGAATACAGTACTACTTTTTTCTCTTCCTCGTATCTCGCCGTAATTTTTTAAAAGATTTTTCAACAGAACCATCTTTGGTTTTGGCGGGCCCACCTCAGCCACAATCGCATCAAACATCATAATTTTTCGGAAATTGAGACTACCAAGATAGTACTATGAGTTAGCATAATTTTTACCAAGCATGTGAGGGTTTACGGGTTTGAATTATCAAATTTCGAGTTTTTCGGGTACAGCCTGGGGCTCGCTAAAGAAATGAATTATGATGATTTCATCCCCGGAAACTAAACGAATCGGAAACAAAAAAACTTGTTAGAAAGAGGAGAAAATGCTGCATCAAATAGTGCGCGAGCTGCTCTTCTTTTAAAGTTCTACGAGGATTTACTTGCCCAAGTATGAAAATCGGTAGCATCAGTTAAAATTCTGTTAAAAATGTATGACAAGCTACGGAAAGGAGAAAAAAAGTAGTACTGTATTCTATAAGGTTCACTCTATTGAATCGTTTCTTGCAATCCTTCTGAGGATTGATATGAAAGTCTTAAAAAATCATAAAACTTGACCATCTCAAAAAGCATGGGTTGCAGGTTTTGGTCATTTTCTGAAAGCTCATTGACCGTTTTGCAACAATTACATAACCATTAGAAAGAGATCGAGATTCTGCATCGAATGCTACCAAAATCTCTTAGAGATCTTTGTTCCATCGTCTGTGGGGTCCGTTTGAAAAAAGCGAAATTACTTTCGGAATGACCTAGTATTAA